TCATATTTCTCTTATAGTTATTCGATAATCAATTAATACAACCAAGAGAGGTGTTAATGTATATATGGTATATATTCCTACATATATTAGGTATTGCTTTTTTAGATATGTTTGGAAATAGCCATAATTAGGTTTTTAGTAGGATACTGTTTCTTATAGTTATGTTTCTAGTAGGATACTCTTTCTCAACCTATATATACAGGCTTTCTATTGTATAGGATTAATTCATTCACTATAATACATATTATTTCCTCTCTCTCTCTCTACTATTCTAGCATGATATCAAAGCTATAGGTTAAGCTCTTGGTGTTCTTCGCCTTCTAACGGGCGACAACCTTACCTTGGCCGCCTGCCGGACCTCAAACCCTTTTGCTGCTATATTTTCCTTTTGGGCAAATTACATATACACCCCTCCAGGTTTGACAAAATTACAGATACCCCCCTGAGGTTTGAGAAATTACGAATTCCCCCCTGAATGCTATATTTGCATAAGAAATTAGGGGGTAATTTGTTATGAAATATAAACCTCAGGGGGTAAATTGTTATGAAAATACAAACCTCAGGGGGTGGGATGTAATTTCCGAAACCTCAGGGGGGTATCTGTAATTTAACCAAACCTGGAGGGGTGTATATGTAATTTGCCCTTTGTAATAATGAGTCCGGATCCTCTGCCGTGTTTATCTGCGGTGCTTCCTGCGACATCTTCAAAACGACACCGTTTTAACATTTTTTTTTCTCATTTCCCCTTCTTTCATTCTCTCTCTCAGCTCTCAAATGTTTGAGAGACTAGAACCCAACCCTAAGCACCTTATGAACAGAGAGACAAAGAGGACATAAATGATCGGACAGCGCGACGGCAAGGCAGCGAGCGTTGAATGAACGGTGATAAATGACTGGCGAAAATCTATGTTAGATATAGTGGGTATCATTCCTGAGTCCAATCATAATTCACCGAAATCCTCTCAGTCCTGAGATCTTCTTCCCAGAAGAAGTTCATGTTCAAATCAAGAAAAGAAAGTCGTTTTTTGTTTTTTAATTTTAAAATCTCGTAGATACTCAGAATGAAATACGTAAATCACCAAGCAGTGGTCAACAATGAATTTAAAATCAACAAGAAAAATAATAGGGGTCTATGATTTTCATATGGAAATGACTTTTCTATTTCTTCAAAATTAACCAAAATCTACCAATCATGTTAAGAAAAACAAAAGGTTCATATATCAATAAACATAGTTTGATTTACCTCTCCCACTTGAGTTCACATTAAAGAAAACACCTATCTAAGAGTTGAATGTACAATCAGAGACTCAGCTGCGAAACAAAGAAAAAAACAGAGGAAAAAATGGAACAGAGCCCGTTGCCTCGCCGTCGTGCCGTCCGATCATCTATGTCCTCTTCGTCTCTCTGTTTATACGGTGCTTAGGGTTAGGTTATGGTCTGTCAAACATTTGAGAGATTTGAGAGCTGGGAGAGAGAACGAAGAAGAGGAAATGAAAAAAAAAAAATGTTAAAACGGTGTCGTTTTGAAGACGCCGCAGGAAGCATCGCAGATAAATAATTGCTCGATCTTGATGGTTATTTTGGAATGGCTGAAAACTTGGGTACCAAAACAGTCTATTCATAGGTCGCGCATTAAAGGCTCTGAATGCAAACAGGTGGACAATTTAACTAGGGGTGTGCGCGGTGCGGTTCGGGCAGTTTGAGAGTAAATTTACAAATCGAATGGCGGGTTGGCGGATTAGCGGATTGACAAATTGCGGTTTGGGCGGTTTTTGGCAGATTGGCGAATTAAAGAATATTCTAACTAATTATCATACATTTGCATAATATATAACACTAATTTCTATAATATTTTTAGATATATAACACAAAGTAATTTTATATAATATATTTCATATATATAACCACTAATTTGTAATAAATTTCATAGCTTAAATCTCTCTCACACTCATTTTTACATTGATATTTCATTAGAGGTTAAAAAATATATATGTATTAATTATAGCGGAGCGGAGCGATTCGGTGGGCGGTTTATAAATTTTAAAATTTAAACCACGGTTAGCGATTAGAACGGTGCGAATTGATGTGGATCAATGCGATTTTAGCGGATTAGGCGGTATTTTGCACAACCCTATTTGTGTGTGTGGGCTGAACTCTCCATGTTTGATAGTATTAGACATAATTGGTTCAGTATTGTCGATATTTAGGGATGGTTTGAAATGATCTAAATACATGTACTTTTTGACTTTTTATGAAATATAAGTTGTGTATGGATTGGATTTAAAGTGATGTTGTAGAGAGGTAATATGACTTAAATAAGATGATGGGACTTGATGATACTCTGAACTCCAGATGGAACGGGTCGAATTGATCTACACTTCCCACACTTAAATATATTTTGTTTGTAGTATATAAAAAATTATATATAGAATATGAAAGATTATTATTCTTAATATATATATGTATATATACTAGCATATGCACGTGCCTAAAGGCACGGTGTAAATAATATTAAAATTAAAATGTAGTTCTAAAAATATATTAAAATATTTTTTTTCTTAAAGAACTTGTAACAATTTTGCTTGTATTACATGCTTTACAAAACTCAAATAAGATAACAACTCCCCTAATCTTAATGCAAATTAAGAAACAAACATATCAAATTTATAATGTTCACCAATATTGATAACCCACCCCATTAATTTTAAAACGGACCAAGCTTCTCTCATCATGTATGGTTTCCTGACAGGCTGATCCCGGCACTTCCTTTGATAAGTAACCATGTGTGCAGTGAATCCTGCACAACAATATAATTTAAATTCTGAAAAGAAAGAGCATAAATGAAAATGGAACAACTATTCTTGCAAAAGAATGCAGTCTATATACTTGGTGCCAAGAATATTCAGATTTCGACCCCTCAAAAAAAGAGAGGTTTCTTGCCCACCCACAACAGCCAAAGGGGGCACTGATATGAATTCTGGAGGACGCCATAAAAAAAATTGAAACCAAAATGAAATTAAAAAAATAAAATAAAATTATTCAACAACAAAGAAAAAAGCATTATTAGCATATGCATATTACCTTCATGAAATCTTCAATCACATCTGCAAGTAACCAAACTATATGATCAGCTCTAAAACAGAGGCATCCAAAGCAACCACTTGTTCACCAATGTTTGATTATGCAAAACACTTCTATTAAGTAACCATGTGTGTAGTGAATCCTGCACAACAATATAATTTAAATTCTGAAAAGAAAGAGCATAAATGAAAATGGAACAACTATTCTTGCAAAAGAATGCAGTCTACATACTTGGTGCCAGGAATATTCAGATTTCGACCCCTCAAAAAAAGAGAGGTTTCTTGCCCACCCACAACAGCCAAAGGGGACACTGATATTAATTCTGAAGGACGCCATAAAAAAAATTGAAACCAAAATGAAATTAAAAAAATAAAATAAAATTATTCAACAACAAAGAAAAAAGCATTATTAGCATATGCATATTACCTTCATGAAATCTTCAATCACATCTGCAAGTAACCAAACTATACGATCAGCTCTAAAACAGAGGCATCCAAAGCAACCACTTGTTCACCAATGTTTGATTATACAAAACATTTCTATGGCTGTATAGTTTTATATGTGATCAAAACAAATATGCAAGTGCTTGCAACATCAAATTTTCAAATTCTAACAACACGGATGCAAAAGAAAATGCATACATAGATACATACCTATGAAGCACGGATACTTCAAAAAGGGTGACGTATCCGTATCGGATACTTATCGGATACCGATACTCCTCGGATACTCGTGGATACGTATCGGATACTTCTTAATTAATTTTTTATTAATTTTGAAGTATCGGATACTTAATTTTGAAGTATCGGATACTCGAAGTTATATATTACTTATAATATTTTGTTTAGTTCTTTGATAAGAGGAATATAGTGAGAGTTAAAGTAATAGAATTTGTCAAATTAATGTATCCTTGTTGTCTCTCTCACTTCTCTCTCGCTTTTTCACTCTCTCACGTTTCTTCTCTCTGCTCTCATTCTTTTTTTGGTGTTGGCATGTAAGGATGATGTTTAATTTGCATTTGCATTTGCATTTGCTTTTAGTTTTGGATGTTTTATGAATGTTTGAGCACTTTTAGATTAATAGGAATCCCTCTCCTTATTTATTAATTTACTTTAAGTTTTATTTTCATGCATATTACATTATTAAAATTATATAAAAAAAAAAATTATGAATGTATCCCTGCTGTGCCCGTATCGTACTTTTTCAAATTTTGACATATCGCCATATCCACATCCCATATCACCATATTCGTATCCGTGCTTCCTAAGCTATCATTGATGACTTAAAAAAGTATATTTGCTGAAATTTTTATTTAAGGATGGTTTTTTGGCTTTAGCTAAGGTCTTGTGATATTCAATGATGAAGGGGAACAAGTTGAAGCTATTGACCTTGAAGACTCTTAGTTTTATAGGAATCTTTCTTCTTTATCAAATTGTCTTTTGCTTTAGGTTTTATTTTTGTGCATACTGCATTACTAAAAATTGTTAAAATAATATTTTTTACGAACGTATCCCCGCCGTACCCGTATCCTAGTTTTTCAAATTTTGTCGTATCGCCGTATCCGTATCGTATCGTATCCGTATCCCGTATCCGTATCCGTGCTTCCTAGATACATACACACACAGAGAGTGGCGAGGTTGGCGAGGTTGCCAACATCAATTTTTGATCTTCTGGGTATTTATTTAATTGAGTGATAGCTCTTCGATTGATTGAAAATTCCTAAAATTTCAATGAGGATTGAGGATAGATTTTAAAGATTTTGAAGTCTTTATGCTGCTGTTTGGGTTGGGTCATTTGGGTTCTGGGAATTAGTTTTTTTTTTGGGGGGGGGGGTTGGGTTTAGGGTTTAGATGGAGGGGGTTGAAGAAGCTAATAGAGCAGCAGTAGAGTGTTGCCATAGAGTTCTTAGGTTGTTATCTCAGCCCCATGATCAGAATCAGCTTAGAAATGTAGTGGTAGAAATAGGGGAGGCTGTAAATAGGTTTAAGAGAGTTGTTTCTCTTCTTAATACTGGATTGGGTCGTGCAAGAGTAAGAAAGATGAAGAATTTTCAAGCCCCTTTTACCCAAAACATCTTGCTAGACAACCTACAGAGTAAAACAGATCGTCACCCCAAACCTGTTCAACTTCTGCAGACTAATTTTCTTGAACTCAACCTTAAAAAAAAGAGATGGAAAACTAAATAATCTTATCAAATAGATGAGCAAACTAAAATAAAATTTGGATATATCCAAAAGTAAATTTCAACGTTTTTCGCTTTTTTTTTTTTAAGTTCAGATTACCTAAAATGAAAGAGAATCAGAAAATACCGACAGATGGAAAATTTGAAAAGAAATCGTTTGTGAGATCAATTAAAAGCAAGAGCAGAGTGATAGCAAGAATTAATCAGTTTGTAAATGAAAGAGAGATAAATAATCAAAAAATACCGACAGAGGGAAAAGTAAAGTGAGATCTGTTTGTGAGGTCAATTGAAAGTAAAGTGATAGCAATCAAACAACAGAGTGATCATGAAGATCATTGTTTCGAAAGCCCTAGATTAAATTCAACAGAGTGATCGAAAGCCCTAGATCGAAAAGAGAGAGAGAGAGAGAGAGAGAGAGAGAGAGATAGAGAGAGAGAGGGAACTCAACGGGTCTCTTTTATGACAGAGTGATCTTACCTGGAGAGCAGCAGTTTCCGGAGTGAGTGTATGGAGGAAGAAGAAGAACAGGGAGGGAGAGAGAGATAAAGTGGGAATAGGGTGGGTGAGAACAAAGGAATGAGAAGATAAAGATAGAATAACATACTGATCTTAAAGATAGAATGGAGATAAGACATGGGTAAGTAGGAAGGAAGTGTAGTGTTTGGGCGGGAAGTAAATTGATATATATTTAAAGGGCCTCATCTTATCTGTCTATAGAAATACACAATTGAATCATAACCATTAAAATGTCCTAGTAGGACAATTATCTCTAACATATTTTCAAAAACCTTTGTGCCTTATTATATATCCTAGCGTATACGCGTGTCTAAAGGCACGGTGTAAATAATATTAAGATTAAAATGCAGTTATAAAAATATATTTAACAAACTGTACTCTACAATTCCAAACAAATCAAATATAAAAAAAAAAAAAATTGAATATCAAATGAAACAATTGAACAGAGTACTTAAATGGTTGGGTTTCACAGAGAATGAAACTGATTGTCAAGTAAAATGGGCTGCTGTAAATACTCTCTTAATATTAGTTCGTCATCAGGAAGCTCGATCCAAAGTAGTAGAAGCCATGGCTTTGGGAAAGTCCGTTGGCTCTTGCATTGATATAATAGAAAACATATTAATTGACAAAGAAATATAGATATATTATTACATTTTGTTTCTACCAAAACTATGTGTGTGTTAGACAGATCAAAGAAAAATCTTTCAAAGTCTTCTAGTCATAGTTGAAAACTTGCTCCATATTGTGCAAATTTTATGAGAAGTCAAGAAACCTAACAGATTACTAATGCAATTCAATTTCCTTCAAACCTGTTTTAAGACTTCAAATTAATTACATACATTCATTTATGTGTTTACTCTCTTCGGTATTGTTTAGAATGTTGGGGCTGGTATTGTCAAAAATGCTTACTCACCCATTTCTTGGTGAGTTTTTTAGATACAGATGGAGCTCAAATCTAATTTTAATTTAAGATATTGTTGGTAGCTTAATAACACTATTGTTTATATTCATCTATAGTTGTAGACTCCTCTCAAGTCGTTTTGATGCTGAAGTGCGATTAAGATGATTAACAAATATCATAATGTTTTACTTTATCGATCCCTCTTAAAAGATAATTTTTTTTTAATTCTAAAATTTAAAAAGTTAAAATAAACTTTAAAGCGTTCATTATTTTTTTCCTTTAATAAAAAACATTAACTATTTTTAAATATTTCATTTAAAAAAAATAATATTTTTTCAACTTGTCTTGTCGTCCATAAACTTGGGCACTCTTATATTTTGGTCTTGCACATTTTCCATGCAGAGGTTAACTGGGTTAGTGGTCCAAATTTCACATTTGAACTTGAGGATCTATAACCAACTTGCATGTTTGTTTACAGTATCTAAACAAACTTGATTTCCAAGTATTGTTGATCTAAAGATTTGGTACATATTGGATAAATTAATCAATTGACATAAAGCCATCAACCACAAAATTCCCTAGAAGAGGGAAAAAAAAATCGCAATTAACATCAAACTTCACCCATCAAAACTGTAGTAACTTTGATTCATATGCCCCCAAAAGGAGCTATACCCATAAAGCCGCAATAGATTTTTAAAAAGAAAAACCAAAAAGAGAAAAACCATTGTACATCACATAAGTCTGGTTAGCTCCTAAAACTCCTCAGAAGCATAACCAATATCCCCTTTCCCTTTACCCACCTTCTTAGGCAACAGAGTCTGGTGAATGTGGTTTGTGGGTTTCTACACGTTTGAGAAAATGTGGGTGGTCGTAGATTTTTTTTTTTTTTTTTGAAAGAGTAAGGAGTGAATACACCAATTTATAGAAAATTCAAAAAATTTATATAAACATTCAGCGAAACATTGGAGTGAATTCACCACATTTGAAACAACACATGACAGAAAATAGTAGAAAAGTGAGCGAACCTTTACCTTTAGTTTGAGAAGAGTGAGCGAAATTGATTTCTGTTTTGGGATCGAGACGAAAACAGAATGTGTTTGTGAGATCAATTGACAAATAATAATAGCATCAAACATAATAAAGTAAGCGGTTGCTGGGAACGCGCTCTGACTAGAAGTGATTGAGCATATAAAAAAATATATTAATCCATTCAAGTTTGCTAATGTACGGGAAAGAAATTAACCTTCTCGTTATAATCCTGTTGATGACAAGATTTGCACTCTCTGTACGTCGTCCCTTATTCACCTGTAAACCGAACGTGAGCTAGCCGCGGTGTGGTGTGCCGGAAACCTCTCCGATGCCAAGGTCAGTAAACTTGACAAATAGACAAGTTTCTGTGTAATTCAGAAGCAAAGGTTGTGTGTTACACTCTCAAGGTGAGCTTTTGAGCTTTTATAGGTTTCGTGGCACAATCTAGTAGGACTCTACTCTCATGCAAGAGTCCTCCTAGGATTCATACTCTGAGAGATAGATGCTTATCCTTTAACACCCCCTCTCGTTTTAAACCCAAGTGAGATGGTTTTACCTGGCGATTCCACATGACCGAAGTAATCTGGCTATGCTGCATGCCGCAGAGTAGGCCGAACTAAACTTATTGCGGTTCTTCCTTTTCCTCCTCCTTATTCTCGGTTCTCTATGTACAACCCATTGGTGTGTTCAGAACCGAGCTTATCCGAGTAGCGAAGGTTCTGACGTTCTAACCTCAGATACGCCATGACCGGACTAAACCTGAGACACGGCCAAATCTCCAAGCTCACTTCGGGCGAAGTAACTTTAAGCATTCCCTCGGGCCGGGTAATTTTGTACCTTCTTGGCCGAGTAGAC